AGTGAAAATTTACAGAGCAAATTCACTTTCCATATAGCAGTTCACATACACTTTGATGTAACATTTGACTAAATCTACTCTAAATTCATGTATGAAGTATGAAAGCTCACTTTTTCTACGTGTCTGTTATGAATTTTACATTCTTAACAGTTGAATCTGCTTTCCAAGGTCTGTTTGTCAGTGCTGAGTGGTACTGGAAGATGTTTAGAGCTTCCATTTCATTGAGTTCTTATCAAGGGTCAGGCACTGTACTAAGTATTAGCACTCATTGTTTCATTTAATCCTCACTACAGTTTTGCAGCTGAGGAACCTGGAGCTTGGATGGTAGATTCATCATCTACCATCACTCACCTAGTAGGAATGAATGGAACAGGAGCGGCGTACCAGCCTCGCTGATTTATGAGGCCTAGCCTTACCCACCAGGCACCCCGTGCATCCAAAGTAGAAGAACAATGTTATGCATACCCTAGTGTTTGTATTTTTAATATATAACTTTAACTCTGCATTGACTCCTCCTGGTATTTTAATAAATTGGGACAGGTATCTCTGGAATTGCTTTTCTTTTGCCCATTCTACATATGTTTATAAATAGCCAGCCCTTTGCAAGGCTCTGTGCTGTTCAAAGCAGGATGGGTACGTCAGACTTTTCCTTCTAGGATCTCTGTATGACAGAGGAAGATAACATCTTCAATTGAAGGACAGGAGTTAGGGGATCTAGAAAGTATTATTTGTTGGACTGCCATCAAGTCGATTCCAACTCATAGCAACCCTATAGAACAGGGTAGAGGTGCCCTCGAAGGGCTTCCAAGGCTATAAATCCTTATGGAAGTAGACTTTCTCTCATGAAGTGGCTGGTAGTTTTGAACTGCTGATCTTTTTATTAGCAGCCAAATCCTTTAACCATTGCGCCACCAGAGCTCTTGTAACTTCAGCAGATTCAAAACGAAGAAAGTTGCATATAGTTAGTTGTACTTGTTGTTTGTTGTTATTTGCCGTCAAGTCGGCCCCGACTCATAGCAACCCCTCCTTGGGTTTTCCAAGGCAGTAACACTATGAAAGTAGGATTGCCCAGCCGACTTAGTTAGCATTTAAATACTTTTGTATTCCACAACAAAATGAATTTGACTTGAATTGAAATATTGGAACATCGTTATGAGTGGACATGGGGTGGCAAGCAAGAATAGGAGAGTTGATGCTGATCTAAAGATTTTCATTACAAGGGATGGTAGAGGGAAGTGGTTCACCATCAAATTTCATACCCATTCTGGGACAGTGTTTGTTTTAACTGAAATTGTATTGAGAAGCTTACTGTCAAAGAATATAGACCTTAGAAGTGGAGAAAGTTTACTACAACTGAGATTAGATTTCAGTTTTATCTCTTACAGTGTTCATTGTGAATTAAGCACTACTAGTAAACTGATTCTGTGAACATGACAAATTAAGAAAGCAGTTTAAAGTCAGAAGTCCAGAATGGGTTTTTTGTTGTTTTGTTTTATTTTCCCTATATAGTGTCCTGTAGGACACTTGTTCCCATGACTATCAGTCTGCTTCTGTAAAGCTCTAGGATACCTCCCTTACAAAACAACCTGCCTGTGCCATGGATGGCATATTCTACATCCATTTTATATTGCCATGAAACAAGGTGCTGAAGTGCAAGAAGAGATCCAGCAGCTCTGGGGAAGTTAGTTAAAATCTTGCAGATGATTTCTTTCAAGCCGTGGTTGGCCCAGGGAAGGCATTGCAAACCCAGGGTGGATTGAGTTTGTAGTTTCTGCATCTTTAAGTGAGTTAAATTAGACGTTCCAGATCATGGGACATAATTGGTAATCCTCTGAACATAGGCTGATGTAAAGATAAGATTATACCAATTTACAATCTTTTTTCCTAAGGAAAATTCACCAAAACAAAGGAATTTTTTGAAAATATCCATTGGTTGGGAAAAGCTTATAGTAGTTGGAATCCTGACTCAGTGAAAATGGGCTTAAAATAATTATTAATTGCTTCAATCTAGGCAAAGACATAATACTAACGTTTAGGCATTACATGTTTTATAATATTAAAAAATTACAGCTGTCATGGAGTCTGGTTTTTCTCACCTAGAGCTTTACATATTTAGCATTGTAGTGGCACTTACATTTTAGAAGAATTCCATATCTTCAGAGATTAAGAATCAGCACTGTTGTTACACTTCTATAAAATTTTATTGGAAAAATCCTTAAAAATTAAAAAAAGCAAGCATCTCTCTACTTTTAATGTGTCAATCACATGGAGTTAGGATTCTGCTCATTTACTTTCATCCCACTAAGAAAACCATTGTTACCATTTTGGTACAAAGCCCCAGGTGTCATTCTACCTGTCCGTTTTTTACTTACATGCATTTATATGTTTTTAACAATGATTTGAACCTTTATTTAATTTTGATTTTTTGCTTTGTATGAGATGCATTGTTCCAGAATTTCTTGACTCTTTAAAGCCTTATTCAGAAGAAATAAAACTAACATAATTAAAAGAGAAGAGCTGTAGGTAAGTTGGAGAACTGTCAGTCCAGAATCTGAATGGATAAAAGTATCTACCTTTCTATACGTGAGACATTAAGTTCTTCATTGTCCAGTAGAGTAGGCACAAGCCACGTGGCTGTTGAGCCCTTGGTGAGTGTAAAATATACCTTGCATTTAAAGACTTTGTATGAAAGAAAAAGTATAAAATTTCTCAACAATTTCTTATATTGAATACATGTTAAAATGAAAACATGGATATATTGAGTTAAATTATATTATTACATTTAATTTCACCTTTTTTTTTTTTTTTTTTAATTTGGCTGGTAGGAATTTTAAAACTACGCATGAGGCTTCTGTTTGTGGCCTACCTTGTATTTCTGTTGAACAGTTCTGGCGGCTTAGTAACACCTTTATCTTCTCAGACAGAAAATTCTATTGAACAACTTTCAGCCGTAACCTCTGATTTTATTTTCTTACATTTCAAATGCTGTTTTTCAACATCATCTTTTGATTCTTTTTTTTCTTCTTCCCAGTACAGTAGTACTTTAAACTGCCTCTCTCTTTGATACCAGTAAGTCTCATAGGAATTTAAATAGACCTCAGTGAAAGCAATACTTGAGTCTCATTCATATGTTCAAGTTAGATCATTATTCCTAATAATGGCTTTAAGTGCTTAGATAGATCAGCGCTTCGTGTCTTGAATTGCTTGTCATTTCTTTATAAAGATGTTTCAAGAAATTGCTCCATGTGATCCCTTCTTTCATTGTTTTCTAGCAAAAAGTAAAAGCATCCTTTATTAGTTTGTTGGAAGTCAGAGAAGAAAATCTTTCTATATTAGCAAAAACAAAATGTATTTGCAGGTACTGAGAATAAAGAGCAAAAATAGTCATGAATGATAGTCCTGCGAAAGTTAATTTTTAAAATAAATCGTGAATGCGCTGACAATCTGCCATTGGCGTTAACCTCTATTTCATTTTCCCATTATATTTGGGTCCAGGTTGTCATCAGCTACAATGAGGAAACCTAAGTAATTCCTAGAGAGGGAAAAGTTGCACTGTTTGACTTAATAGTATGGTAGTCATGGAAGCATCAGTTATCTTCATCAAGGCAATTCAGATGTCATTATTGTAGGATTGTGTTGAATACCAAACCAGTGGAGTAGTAGCTGGAGCTAAATCAAGGGATTGTCGTTTTTGTCAGATGATTAGGGCTGGCTTGGGAGAGATATGAAAGGGTTGAGCTATGTAAATATTCTCTTTTCAGCAGGAAAAGAAAAGGTCCATCATGACCATTAAGATGCAGCTTGTTAGCTTGATGAATTTCAAACTATTTAACCTTAGCAATTACACACACACACACACACACACAGAGTGTATCAGTGCGCTTTGGGATTATGTCTCCAAAAGTTGATACCAAAGCATACTGATAATTTTGCTTTGAGATAAAATGCAGCTTTTCTGTTTCTAGTTAGAGCTCTCAAAGGACATGGCATGCTCAGGTTCAGAGTCCTAATATTAACTTGAATTATATGCTCAAGTAAACATTGGAATGCATTTATTTATGAGTTTTGTTCTTTAACTTTTTTATGAAAACTTTACGTCATTTAAAATTTTAGAGATGATGGTATTCAAGTTATACTATAAATATCTTTGTATTTTTGTAAACTAGAAGTTAATTTGTTTAATTTTTATTGATTTGGTTTTGGTAAGGGACTTGATACATATAAATAATAAAATGCAACACATTCTAATGATTCAAGGAAATTCCTGCAGTGTTTATAAATAATATTAAATACCAGAAAGGGCAGTGTTACTGTTGCTTTTACTAAAATGTGCACTGGTCAATTAGCTTTTGTATTGTGATGGTTACCTTGCTAATATTTCTAGTACCTGGCACATTTTAGGCACTTATTAAACTCATAAATAAGAATACATGACATAGAAATTGTTAACTTTAAAAGAATTGCTGAATTCTGAAATAATGCATTAGTTTTAGGAGCAAAAGGGCTCCATGTGCCATCTAGTGGACATATTTAGCATTCTAGTCATTAAAAACAGTTATTTTCACTCTTCCTCAAAAATGAATCTCCCTTGACAAATTGTGTCTCTTAGTTCTTTAGCATAGATTGTACTTGTGTTACATCTCATATAATTTTTTAGTTTTGTAGTGTTATTTTATCTGATTATACTTTGGAAAGTCATATTTGAAAGTAACCAAAGTTACTGAAAATAAATAACAACAATAAATCTGCATGGACTATGAAACAGGTAATAGTAAAATAATTTCAGTGTTTCGTTAGGACTAAGATCAATGAAAGGCAAAACTTGAAAACTTGGCAAAACCCCAACCAAGCATACTAATTATTAAACTTCATTATTATACATATTTTTTTTCCTGAATAAATCTAAAAATGATCATTTCTGTCCTTTTCTAGGTATGGATGTATAATTTAAACAGTTTTATACATTTTAATTTATAGTGAATTTTTTTTTTTTTTTTAAGAAAAATCCAAGACCAGTGACTTATCAGTTCCATCAAAATTTGGATTATTACAAAGCACGTGGAGCAGACCTCATGAATAAAAGCCGGTAAGTCCTCTTTCTCTGATGATACAAATCACAAAGATATTCTCAGAGGTCATCAGAAAATTTTACACGTTTGCTGAATGTAATTTCCCAGATTTTAGCCTATCAATTTGTTAACACACACAAATTAAACTTTATTAAATAATTATCATCAGGTTTTTTTAAAGGCATAAGAAAATCATATATATTGATGCTAGTGGTAAAATGAAAAATTAAATAAATATAAGCATATGTGTTACAATTTGAAGTTAGACAACTTCATTTTTCTAACACTAATAAACCTGAATAAATTGTGCCTGCTTGTATAATCTCTTTCTCGATTCTTGCTGTTGATTGAAAAGAGGCAGTTCTATAATATATTTTTGAATTATTTCAGTAACAAAATTAAAATTGGGTTTCCCAACTGCCTTTAGAACTACACAATAAGCTTATAAATGCATCTTGTGAGTGCATTTGTGATTATATACATAGAAATTTTAAGGGTCACTGTAGGAATAAAAAAACATTAAAATCCTACTTTTTAAAGAAATTAACATTGGCATAAAGGGTTGATGAACAGTTGTGTTCTTTCATAATACTGTACTCATGTCTCAAGAGTTAACTTGTCAAACCAGAACCATCTCAAATTAGAATGTAATTTCAGAGTTTTCTCTGGACGACAGAAATGTTAGTAATGATAAATGCTACCAAGGTGTCCAAATTTTCTCCCTTAAGCATTTTACTATGTTCAGTTGGATCCAGCTGTCTAAATGCACGTTAATGGAGCACGTGGACACAATGTGCTCTCCTCTCTTAGAGGGTTAAAAAGTAAATGAGCTCCTGCCATATAGGAGCTCATAGTTTAAGGGAAGACACTTATGAGAAAGTGGCTGAATTTAAATTTGAATTTTGAAACCTGTTTTAATGCAGTGTTGTTATTAAGTTCAGCATCCTTGACTGAAATCTGTTTCTCACGTGCTTTGATGTACTGTCTAATAATGAATCCAGTTCAGTAACCTGTGAAACTCCTCTGAGGCTCTCTTACGTTTGTTCATTTCATCTGATTCTCATTTCATAAATAAAAGGCTATTTCTTCTAGTATCTTCTTTTGTTTATTTCAACAAATATGTATCAAGTGCCAGACTCATTATTCTAGGTACTGGAGATACCCAGTGAACAAACCAGACAAAAATCCCCTACCCTCAGGAACTTTAGAATCTCAACACTTTTATTTCCTCATTATATCACATGCTTAGTTTGGTATCATTTAAAAAAAAAAAAAAAGGTGTTGCAGGTTCTGTCTTTATACAAGATCTTTCTAGCTTGTGTTTCTTCTGCTGTCTCCTTCTTGTCCTATCAGGTTATTTTTCACACAGCAGCCAGAGGGCTCTCAATTTACAACAGGTCATACCACACCTGTACCCCACACCCTCACCCACTCCCCACTCCATGCCCCATTTTAAACCCCACCAATGACTTCTTTACCTTGATAATTCAGTCTTCTTCCTGTGACCCTTCCCTCTCTCTTTGACCTTAACTCTGTCCATAGTCACCTTTTCTCTATTCCTGTGGAGCCCCGATGGGGCAGTGGCTAAGCATTTGGCTGTTAAGAAAAGATTGATAGTTCAAACTCACCAGCCGCTTACAATTGAAATGGAACCAAAGAAAATACAGTGTGTGATAAAGAAGGCATCACACACTGTGAATAAGAGAAGAGTTAATGAAGAGTGCTGGGAAAAATTGGCAAATCATTTTAAAAGGTATCAACTTATAACCTTACCACACACCAAAATAAATTCCAAATTAATCAAAGTGCAGTCAAACAAACTAACCTGAGAATAAAATATAGATCATTTGGCTGCTAATCAGAAGGTCAGTGGTTCAAACACAGCAGCTGCTGCATGAAAGGAAAATGAGGCAATCTACTTCTGTAAAGATTTATAGCCTTAGAACCCCAGTGGGGGTTAGTGTGAGTTGGAATTAACTCAGTGACAGTGCATTTGGTTTTTGGTTTTGATCTGATCTTTACAGAAGGTCTGATGGTGCTGTGGGTAAGGTATTTGGCTGCTAACCAGATCATTGGTTTAAACCCATCAGCTGTTCTATGGATGGAAGAAGAGGCAATCTACTTCCATAAAGATTTGCCATCTTGGAAACCCTATGGGGTCACCATGAGTCGGAATCAACTAGATGGCAATGGGTTTGGTTTTTGGTTTATCTAACCTCTGGTTACTTGAAGCATTTTTAACCTTAAAAGTAATGAAAGAAATCACAAAGAAAAATGACTGATGGGTTTTACTATGTAAAAATTATTTTTAAGTAGGTATTTCAAAAACAGCATAAACTGAATGAAAGATAAACAGAAAATTGGGGAAATCTTTGCAATGGATGTGACTGACCAAGTATATCATTAATATATAAAGAACTTACAGAACTCAAAGAAACACAAAACCCTGTCGTAGTGGCCATTCCATCTCATGCCATGCTCTATAGGATCTTCTTCTCTGCCTCTAAATGTTGGAGCACCCACCAGGTTTCTTCTCATCTTCTCTATCTGTACACGTTCCCTAGAGGATTTCATCCCAGGCCCATGGCTTTAAATACTATTACTGGCAGAAGCATCCTAAATTATGTCTCTAGTTTGACCACTTCCTTTAACTCCAGACTCATACCAGTATCCCACTGCTTATTCAGAATTCTCCTCTTGGATGTCCCATATGCATCTGAAATTTAATACTTCCCAAACTGTACATTTGATACTTCACACCCACAAACCTGTTACTCCCTCCAGCATGTCTCCATCACAGTAAATAACATTGCCCAGTTAATCAAGCCAAGCTTTACAATTGTTCTTAACTCTTTTTTCTCTCATATCGCACATTGAATGCATCATCAAATCCTCTGTAAAATATATTCTGAAACAAATCTCTTTTATTCCTCTGCACTGGTAATACCAAGTCACCTTCATTACTCATCTCAACGACTATAGTCTCCTAACTAGATCCCTCCTTCCTCTACTCCTTCTTTTAGGCCTTTTTCCACACAGACAAAATAATTCCCTAACATAAACCAGATAATGTCACTGCACTGCCCAGAGCCCTCCAATGACTTCTGAAAGCACTTCAGATGAAACCCAAAGCCTTTTCATTGCCTGCAAGGCAGACCCTCCCTGATCTGTCCGCCCACTCTCGTCTCTCCACCTCATTTGCTCCCACCACTCTCCTCTGGTGTTCACTGTGCTCCAGCCACACTGACCTGATTGCTGTTCCTCAACCACACAAACGTGTTCCCACTTCAGGAGCTTTGCACATGGCTTCCCTCTGCCTAGAAGGTTCTTCAAAAATCCCCCTGATGTAATTATTCTATGCAGCCTCTGTTCGAGTAGTATCTCCTCAAAGGAGACCTCTTTGGCCACTCTGTCTAAAACATTGGACCCGCTGTTCCTTTCCTCTGCTTTGTTTTGTTTTGCTTCCATGTTTCATAGTAATTTCATGCCTGAAAAGCATTTTTGCCTTTTTTTGTGTTTATTTTGTGCTTTTGTTTTTGTTGTATGCTTCCTGCACTAAATTGTCAACTACACATTTGTCTTGTTAACAGTTGTATCCCCAACACCTAAAAGAGTGCCTAGAATATCACAGGCACTCAATGAAAGGAGAATTACAAATAACAAATAAACATTTAAAAGGCAATTCAAACTCATGTGAGTCAAAGAAGTGGAGTTAAAACAGTAACAAAATACCATCTTCACCTTTCAGATTAGCAAATTAAAAACAAGTGAAAGCAGCCAGCTTTTGTGAAGGTGTATGATACAGTTGGTCACCAGTTGAGGGTGTGTAAATGAGAAAAACTTGATCATCTCCAGACATGCCCAGGTGGGGCAGTGGTTAAGCGCAGGGCTCCAATGCTATATGTAGCCCTTATCACAACCATGTTACTCCCTGGAGGTTTGTTTATTGTGCTACTACTTTATGTGTGATTAAAACCCATTATAGCTGTGAAACAGTTGGTAAATTCCCTGTTTAGGTACTAAAGGTCTAAGGTGTTTTCACCAGTCTGGACCTTCAGCCATATTTAGTGTGGCTACTACTTTCTTAGAAGTTAGGATTTATTAAGGAGTTGGTACATTGGAGTTGTCACTGGATAGCAGGAAAGAGATGAATAGTCCAGAAGGGAGATATCTAGCTATCTATTTATCTTATCAATCTATATGCACAAATACATACACTCCATAATGTTATATAAATAATGTACGTATTATACGATTTGGTTTTTTGTTGTTGTTATTTGCTTTTTTTGCAAACCACTCAAGTCCTTCATACGTTAGTTTCCTATGCATATTATCTGCATTTCAGCATTATTTACATGGACACATTATATACAAAAAATTATATACATACACACACACACCGTCATACATACGTACACACACAGTCATACATACGTACATACATACATAGGGGAACCCCTAGAAGTGATCAAAAAGTAGAGGTTAGACAAGAGACAAGCAGGTGTTAAATCTGCTAAGCAGGGGACTAATACCTGCTGCTTCTATGGCAGTGGACTTCTATTTGTGTTGCATATCCAAATAAGGGATAAGGGATGCGGATGTAAAGATGGCATGTGATTTCATGGATAAGAATATCTGCAGAAATCAAGCCTGATTTCTCTTCTCTACTTTCCCATGGATTGCTATAATTAAGTCTTTAAAAGCAAGTGCCTAGGTATTTTAGTGATAGATTTTCCATTACGTGCATGGGTAATATTCACTGTGCTCTGATTTCACTTACTTGCAAATTTCTTTTTTTAAAATGGGAAATGACATTTTCGTATTCATTCAACTTTTGAGCTCAGAATGACAATTTAACACTCAAATTTTGCTCCAATTTTGTCCTTAAATAACCAGAAATTGCTGCTATAAAAAAAATCCATCTAAATTGTGACTGGTCTTTGGAAAGACCCATCTAATTTATTTAAGAATCTATGACTACTAAAATACCCAACTAAGTAGTCACAGAACAGACTTT